TAAAAGATATTCTATCATAAAGAATCAATGTAAGATATAAAAAGTAGTCTAATCAGCGCAGTTGTCGAATGTTTTAATTAGATAATATGTTAGAAATAAAATTAATCAATAGTTTAATACGTTACACGTCACGTCAGGTCTTAACTAGTTGAAGGACGGCGGGGGAATGAGGTACTTTACTGCTTATCCTTCGTCGAATGTTCGGCTGTTTACGTTTTGTTTCGGCTGTCTTTCTTCTGTTTCACCTCGTAGGACATTCCTGGAAATATACATACGTATTCATAATTGCCTGTACGTTAATGTCTTGTTTTCTTATTCTCTCTCTCTCTCTCTCTCTCTCTCTCTCTCTCTCTCTCTCTCTTTCTCTCTCACTCTTGTTCTCACTCTTTTTATACATTTCTATATAGGTTAAAAAAAGAATAACGATGAATATGAAGATAAAAAAGAGTAAACACAATCGTTAGACTGAGTATATGTATTCCTGTTGGACTCTCCAATACTCGAAACCTAACAGAAGTAAAAAATAAAATTACATTAGTATAATATAAAAAGAAAATCAAATACATGAGTGTATGTGTACGAGCTACCTAACTTATGTATATATGCCTGTATGTGTTTGTAGGTTATAAAAATTGAATTTAATACGAAATACGATCTTTGAAGACATAATTAAGAAAAATAATTAATAAGAGCATCATTAGAGATGGTAATAAGTATCGATACTGTAAAAAAAAGATGGAAATTAGAAAATAATATTATTAAGTAACATTGGTTAGGTTAGGCGCGAAACTGAGATACATTGATGATTATAACTTCTGTATTTTTTAATATTTCCTTTTGAAAACACTCACTACTTGTCTGTAGCTATCGTTTAATGTATAATAGAAAGGTGTAAAATACTTTTCAATTACCTGGATTAAAATAGATGATGCAGTACRCTGGAACAACTGACACATTCCAATATGGCGTTTCCTCTGCTTTTCCCCTGCGATGCAACTGCGGCGCCACTGATGCACACTTGCTGCGCAATATACTATGCGCAAAGCCTCGTAGCTCTGATGGCCTTGATAATTTTGCATTTTTTCCATCTATYMTAGAAAAATATCGAATAGTTAAAAATAGTATATAGGAACATAACAATTGTCGAAATATATACTTTATTAACCCAGACAACAAAAATTGATCATTATAAGTCGATATCTACAGAAATTATGCCGTAAAATAAGAAAATAAAAATTCTTAGAAAAATGCATATCAATGTACATGGAATTGTTTTCTACGCAAATATTTTTTATCCTCGACATTATCATAATCTTTCGATTATATCATTTGAAAGTAATTTGTTAGAATAATCGATTAGAATATAATACAATTATTTACGTAGAGAATATTTTTTAATTACCTGAGTTTAACGGGACGATGTAATATCCGTGCGATTTCCAGCAACGACGCCGCGAAAAGAAAGAAGCAAAGTGCGCTGATTGGCTAATTATTTCTGAAGTTAAGTGACCAATTAGAAATTCCCAATAACCATATAGATATGTATTTCACGCATACAAGCTTGCCTCGTCACACGTACGTAACTCGGCTTTCTTCATGACCACGCTAGTCAAGCTTAATATGATAATTTATTTATTAAATAAATAAAAAATTTATTCTATTTTTTTATATTTAAGGTACACGTATCTTCTTAATATTTAAAAAATAACGAAAAGAATAAAGACAATATGCACTATAAATCTTATCACAACGCACATGAAAACACACATAATTTATTTATTAAATAAATCAAAAATCCATTCTATTATTAATTATAATTATCCAATTTTTAATTATATATTATTATATATATTCAATTAATAATTATTAATATTCAATGCATTTTTCTATTAGATATATGTGGTAAACAATCTGAAATATAAAAAGATTGGATTAGAATATTAGAATAATTGTTAATTAATCGATAGAAATGCCTATTGCTGTTTAAAAGCTAGAAATATATGATGTATGTACCGTCCCCTTCGAAATTCACCGTTGAAATGAGACGTTGTCCTCTATCAAATTACTTTTATTCAATGTTGTTTATATGACTTTCCTAACGTTGCGCATGTGTATATAGGAAATAATACACCCAATTAATAAAATTTAAGGTTATAACGGTCTCCTTTTGGTATTATTTTAATTTTTATGTAATTATTTCAATGCTCCTGCACAGAGATAACTTCCAGGGTAACATATATTTATAATGTTAACCTATGACATATGACAATGATAACATAAATTATCTTATTTCCTTTAAATTTAATTCGGATGTGGACATCTTCAGGATGAACATCCCTCGTGGGTCTTCGGAAGCGGTTACCTCCTCGTGGTTAGACCCGGGCAATGGTGTTTTACTTTCAATATAATGTTTATCATATTTTATATGCTATACATTCCATTGCAAGTGAAATCCGGCTAAAGACCGCTTACCATAAACATTATAATTTTAATTAGTTTCTTTTAACTTCCTACTTATACCATGTTTTTATTCCTTTCCTTGATTCCTTCTATCCATTTCATCTATAGAAAYTAATTACCTTATAATGTTTCTTTAATAACTTTTATATATTTACAGGTAGTCTCCTTACCTAGAATTTCTCCTACTAACCATCACACATCTTCCCTACTTCTTTCACTTCTTTTCTTTTCCTTTATAGCAAGTATGCTTACATGAGTTAGCATGCATTCAAGTGAGTTTATTTAACTTTTGAGGTGGAATAACTTTTAGATTTCTTTTTATTTGCGATTTGATATGCATAAAATATGCATATAGCATAGGGACCAAAGTGATACGTAGTCGACTGCATTTTATGAATGCAGTCTTCTCACACGTACATGGGTATTTTAAATCGTTAGATTTAACAACAAACCTTTAAGATTGTTTTCTAGTTGAACGCCTTAAATGACTACTTTTTAAAATATATTTTCAAATGCATTTCTGAAGGGACACATGTTTATCCACTAAAAATGAAATTTATTTATTTAATAATTACATCTCTCATTTGGCGCAACTTCATAGATAATACCAACCGCTCCAGTTAAATACCTACTATCGCCCACTGGTGATCCTGGTAGTACTTAAAATGAAACTGGGTCGATAAAAAAGGGGACTTTGTGAGCTTTTATGATTTCTGTATTCTTTAGTTCTTCCACAACCCATTTATACAAATCGAAGAATCGTTTTACATGCTCTAAATCAAATGTAACCAAAAAAATGCATAAGAAAACGTGACATAATTGTTCAAAAATAATTTTCATTTATTTTAAGGATGTTTAAAAGATATCGATGTGTGTATATGACAAAATGTGCTTATTTTTTTAATAATATCATTAACCGATATAATATCAAATGGAATACAAATTTGATAGAATTTCAAATTTCCCGCTTACCTCGACTCTAATTTGGAATGCGCTTTGTCTTTATTTGTAAACAGATATATTAAAGAATTATATCCCAGTTACAATGCACTAATAAGATTACCTTTAATTGATCTATTTACTATATCTATATTGTAAAAATTATATTATTCGATATATATGAAAATATATTTTCAATAATTTAGTGAACAACTTGTTTATGTGTGACATGCTTTGGTTTAACAAAACCAACCAACCGTTTTGTATATATTCTCACATGTAATAGAATTATAAATATTTTTAAACGGTCATGGAAAATCGAATTCATGAGGAATTAATTATAAAAGAAGAAGAAAACGGAGAGGAGGAATATGAATCTTCAGGAAGTAAAAAAGAAGGTACAATTTTTATCATATAAACTTGCCATTGAATAATTAATTTTACATTTTATGTTAATGTAATTAAAAGGAACGACAAGAGATAATACTGAAACAGCAATAGGTATACGACCAAGGCCTTTGATATATAAACCAGATAATGCGAGTATAGGGTGTAGGTCAGAGCCAATAGAAAGGAAGTGGCATTGGGCACCCGGTGCATGGCAGGATGCAACCAGAACCAGTGCATTTCAACCATATAAGGTATAATACTTGTGGTTTATTATAGATCACATATCTTTAACTTTACTTTTACAACCATGCTTTTACAGCCACCAACTTTGTTAACTAACTTACAAAGAGGTAATACACGTACAAAAATACCTCAACTCTATGGAAGAACAGATATTACTTTTCATACATTAGCTGGTCAAGGAGAACTTACACCTGAAAGCATACAACCAGGTTCTTTTTCTCCTTATTCTTGAGAAAATAAAACAATATGTATTGATTACTTGTATTTTGTGGCACAGTTATTATACTTTCCAGGATCGGTAGATCTTACAGATGAGAAAGGTTTAACAGGTCTTATGTGGGCTGCAGGATATGGACAATTAGGTAGCGCAAGGCAATTGTTAAAAGCTGGCGCGAACAAAAATTATCGTGGTCATAATGGAGAGACTCCTTTACATTTAGCTGCCGCTTACGGTCATCACGATCTTGTAAAGTTACTTTTAAATCATGGCGCTGATTCAAATGCAAGCGATGAGGTCTATATTATTTATTTTGTACCATTTTCTCGTCTATTATATATATATATCGTACATTAAAAAATAAAAACACAAAAATATCTTTTAGGAAGGAAACACGCCTCTTATTTATGGAGCACATGGTGATCATCCACATGTTTGTTACGAACTTTTGTCTAGAGGAGCAGATATTACACATCGTAATGTACACAATATAAGTGCATACCAAGCTGCAATAATAAATAATTCGTTAACTGGTAAGAATGTAAAAATCAAATAAAATAACAAAATAATAAATAAAAAAAAGTAAGTAGAAAAATAATTTAAAGTAGACATATACATATTTTTCTTTTTTTACAGCTAAGGCAGTTATCGAAAACTATCTATTGCAACAAGTAGTAAGTGTACCATCTGATATATTGCAATAACCTGTTAATTATATATTATTGTTTAAATATTTTTAAACGTTATGTAAATATTATCATTATTATAATGAATATTATATATTATTTTGTATATTATCTTTAATGACATTTTATACTGTAAATAATTATTTTAATATATAATATATAGTAATGTTTAACTACTAATAATACATGCAGAGTGTCCTATAAATGGTGATACAAGCAGTGGATGATTCTACATGAAAGACTAATTCGAAAATGTACGAATATTCAAACTTTTTCTTTTCAAAACGAAGCTGTGTAGGAATAAATTTTATTCTACGTTTTTTACTTACAATTAATTTTTCCTATAGAATCATCTCCTGCTCGCCTGTACCACCAATTACAAGACACTTTGTATATATATATATAATATAAAATAAAAATATTTATATATGTACATAAAGAAATACAAATTATTGAATATATACTTCACTAATTAGAGAAAAAGCAACTATATATTGAATGCAAATGCCAAATATAATAAAAGTCAAAGATTAATTAAAGATATAATAATGACACTAATACCAGTAAAAATAATTTTATTATAATATATGAACTCTACCTAATATTATATATATCTTAATATTAACAATTCCTACACATTGATGTATATGCGCATGTTTGTGTGTGTAATCAAATTAAATAAATAATCATTTCTATAGTATTTATTTTAAAAACATTTCTTTAAACAATACTTTCAAAAAACTTTAATAATTAATTTTATGTGATTGCTTCCACCCGATATATCCATTAAATAGCATCATTTATATTGAATATGTAGTTTGCTTTGTTTTAAGCATGCATTAATGAACAATAAAATATATACTTTTTTTATTATTATGTTTAACTATAATACATACTTCCAAGTATAACACAATACTCGTCAATTCATAACTAATTCGAAACATCTTATAAAAGATTCAAATAAATTTATTTAAAAATAATAGATATTGTATCTCGATATGTGCATATAAAAAGTCACAGCACATATACGTATATATACACATGTAGCACATACATAAGTAGTATAACTGTGTGTTTCGTATGTATTCAAATTATTTAAAGATAAAAATTTCGATGTAAGGATTAATATGTTTCTTTAGGAAAGTATAACGTTTAGTGATAAGAAAAGAATGTGATTTATATAACCACAATATATATGTGTATATACGATAAAAGAAATATTTATAAATTTCAGTAACCCAAACTAAAGTTACGTTTCTAAATACTTTTATACATAATTATAATAGAAGGATTAAAGAAATTGATGCAACTATAACATTTAATATAATGTTAGAAGAAAAAATTTTACTTCTTTTTTTCTTTTTCTTTTCCTTTTTCTTTTTAGAACGCTAAAGAAGTAATCATATGTATGCAACAATGCACAAAAGGCATATGAACAGTGAAATTATTTGTTCTTTGTGAAAATAAATGACAGTCTTTGCCATTTAATATTTTAATTTGACGTAAATAATCAAACATAGCGTCTATAAATGTTCTTTATATGCAATTAATTCAATAAACTTGATTAAACTTGACTATATTTGAAGATATTTATCTTTTTTTCTTAATTAAAATACACTTTTTTTTGTAGTTTTTGTCTCGGATAAATTAATATTGAACATACAATTACAACAATATGATTGTAATGTGCACATTAATATACTGCAATACATTTTTGCAGTTACCATGAGATCATTAAGTAAATGATCATATGGAAATAGAAATCTGATTGGCATATGAATACTAATTAGGCTAGTTGCTTATCATAAAAATTACGTTTTCCAATGTACCGTATTCATTTCCATGTGTTCAAAGCGTATGTAGACTAACATCTACTTTTCTTTTTTGTTTTTGCAGCTTATACCACTTCATAATTGTCAGTAAAGAAAACTGTTTCTATAGAATGTTTTACAGGACTCTCGTCTTCTACTAATAAAACTTCCGTAATCTAAACATTAAAAAATAAGAAAAGCAAAGAATTATTTATATTTTTTAAAGATACGGTAAACATATAAAATGTTTTGAAACGTATACGATACCTTTATTTTGGCATACGACGTCTTGGATGCAAAAGAAACATGAAGTGGATAGAAATCTGCGGGCGTTGAAGATGGGGCAAAAAATTCCATTGAACCAGATTTTGTCGAGGCATCGACTAATGGCAGCGACCATATTAATATATTTTTCTTTGTCTCATGCGTGTATTGTCCATCAAATGAGCTTACTATAGGAGTACATCCAATTGGAAGTGGAATGTTTATGTTTACGTCATTTAATTCAAGATCATCTTGTTGTAATTCATACTCAATGTTTACATCCCAACCCCCATCACTGCTTTCACTAGGCCAACAGTTTACTAAATAATTAAAAAATTGAGTTGTTAATAATTACTTGAATTAAAACAAATCTGTACAATTGTACAGTTTGTTTTCCGTAAGTAAAGAAAGGCTTAAAATTTTTAGCTAATTAAAAAAATCCATACTTGAAATTGGTAATGCTGTTTCGTCTTGAGCTTGTAGACGCCACTTTAATACACCAACATCTGTGTTCAATGGGAATGGTTTAGTAGGTATTTTTAATCCAATTTGACCGCGAGTCCTAAATAATTCTTTATCGACATTTGGATGAGTTTGTAATTGAATTCCTCTTGAATCCCTGTTTTCAAGTTGAACACGGATACGACCCCACTTTTCATCAGAAATATGCAGTGTTACCAAACCATGTAACTCGAAGTGTTGAAGACCTCCATTATGTCCAATGCGTACATTAAGTCTCTCTTCTTGTCGTAGGTGAACACTATTTATACGGAATTAATTAATATAAATAAATATTATTTAGTATAATAAAGGAATTAAGATACATACGGTTCAGTATTAATTATCTGAGGACTGATTGGCACAGGTTTTGATCCTAACGCTGCAAGTGGAGCACTCACAACATTTTCACCTTCTTCTTTCAATTGGTCAACAAACGAATCAACATCTCGAGATTTTCCACCAAGCTTCATTGCCCCTGGACCAGTATTGGCTGGCTTTCTACAATCACATAAAGTTTTTCTTTATATTTTCTTCTATAAAATTTAAGAAATTTGAAATAACATTGCAATTAAATGAACTCACTGTACTGGAGTATATGATGGTCTCACTGTATCAGGAACAAAATTAGCAGTATCTCCAACCGTAGGAGTTGGAGTGAAACCACCGCTTCCGTAACCACTACCAAAACCTGGACTTTTGATACCAGTTTTCTTATTCGCTTCCATTCGCTGCCGTTGTAATTCTTTAGCTTTCTCGCGCATTTTATTTTTAGCTTCACGTTCTTGAGTCATTCTCACTGCACGATAAACCTTTTCCTCGTGAGAATCCATTTCTACAAAAGTTCTTATTTGCGCAAGATTGACACTTTCTCTATATCCTAAAGCGACAATTTCATCAAATGCAAATATTAAATTGAATGCATTATCTGCTATTTCAAGTTCATCCATCGAAACACAATATTCTGGGATCTAAAAAGATATTATTATTAATTTATGAAGTACAATGATATATAATATAATACTTACCACTCTTGCAAAGAGTCGTAAAGTTTCTAAATCTTCCAAGATATTGCTAGCCTTTGTCGTAATGAGTAGCATGTATACTTTTTCTAATGGTTGATAAACATATCTTACAGATTCTGTTTCAACAAAAGTATGCTGTTTACCGGAACTCATTAACTTTGGAAATGCAGCTAGTAATCCTTCGATTCTTGCTTTTGTCATTTCAACAAATTGACGGGAAATGATGGCTAAAAAAACAAAGCCATGTATTTGTATGTACATAAGTAAGTGTCTATATCCTCATATCTTTAAATACAATATTGTTCTTTTAATTGGTCTAATTAAAATAATTGTCAATAGAATACTCTTCCGCCCTTTTTGATATTCCTAAAGTATTACTATCAAACTATGACTAATAGTGATAGATATAAATTTGTAAATGATAAGATATTTAAACTTCATATCTACATTTGGATATAATTTGAGAAAATCTGATGTATTACAAATAAACACACACGTGAACGTATGTATGTGTAATCATACAATGATATTAAAAAAATTATAATTACTTTTTCCCGCCTTTGTGCATACAGCAGCAGCGATAAGTACCTAAAATTATAAAAATCAATTAGGTATATAATTATCATATGAAAATCTGCTTTACTTAAAAAAAAAAATAATTATATTTGGCAATTGAAATCTACAAATGGAAAGGTAATATTATATTTCACGTGATATTTATATCAAAACGATTAACAACTTCTACAACATTTATATCATGTTATTAAAAAATAATTATACATACCATTTTAAGAAATAATTCTAACGCGCTACCTCTTTTATTAACCTAATATAATTTTTTTTGTATTCTTTTTCTTTTTACATAAGCCAATCTATTCTCCACATCACATATACAAATACGAGTAACGAAGTAGAGGGCGCACTGTGCTGACGTGTGCCATGATGAAATACAACATGAATTATAAAAATAGGCTAGATTAGCAATAATTGGATCTTGTACAAATGAAAAACAAATAAAATATTAAAAATTTATTTAATTCTTACTTTCCACTTCATAAGAATTGGCATTAATACATATATATATTGTATCCTACCTGTTGATTGTAGATGACGCCGCATTCGTTTAGTCCAATACATAAATCGATCTTATTACAGATACTGCATAATCGATATCTATATCGATAATGCACATCAAGCGTATGTTTATTAAAATCTTGAATTTTTTTTTAAAACTATAATCATGGCAACATCAATGTTCATACGTTTCTCTAATTTTCGTAATTTATTGAAAATAAATAGCAATGTTCTCGGTATATCATCGAATACAACCCAATGTTTGGTAATTTTCAATTAATAATTTTAACGTTTCAACCTTTACATGATTTTAAAGTTAACCTCAAAATATAAATACATGTATATTATATTTTTGTTTTACATTAGGAATCCATCTCTCGTTTATCTAGTACACAACAATCTGAAGCTTTGACAGATCAAAGCGGCATCAAGATATTACATACAACCAAAGCTATGCAAACTTATATGAAGCGCATCAAAAAGCATGGTAATATCCTGATTTATTAATAAATGTATCACAGGGAAGTTGGACAGATTAAAAATTTAGAACGTTATTTCGATCTTATTACTTACATATACATATTATAAAACATTAAAAGATAGTTATTTAATATTACCTCGATCGTTAATGTTCAGAGTCTTTTACATATTATTACGAAGACATACATTCTTACATTTAAAAAATAAACTGTACTTAACATTTACAAATCGTTATATCCTAAAAACTGTTATATTCAAAGACATAATCAAAACAATACTGATTCAATCTAGACTAGTGTTTAATAGTCTAGGTATCCTCTGTTACGGTGTTCTATTTATAATAATTAAATTTTAAAATATTCTGATTTATTTTTTCTTCTGCCAATCATAACAGATTTCTATTTGTTCATAATAGGCATATATGCTTGATTATTCTTTTTATAGAGGAATTAATGGAAAAAGAAGTATTTGAATATGAAAAGGGTAAAAGACATCTTGCAAATATGATGGGTATGGATGCCGAAAATTTTACGGATGAAGATGTTGATGTAAGTTGTAATTGTGTTAAAATTTATGATTCTTTATGATCATTTTTTATACAATATTAATTACAAGTATATACATTACATCAATTGTAAAATTTTACTTAGAGATCATTAGAATATCTTTTTCCATCTGGGTTGTACGATCCCAAAGCACGACCCTTGATGAAACATCCAAAAGAAATCTTTCCACCTCAGAAGGTAGCTGAATTTTCTGCCGATGGAAAACCGTTACATCCATTCTTTTTTATGATAACACCTGTCTATTACGAAACACTTCATGTAAGTAAGATTTTTAATAAACAATTTATAGGTTTAATAGAGAGAGAGAGAGAGAGAGAGAGAGAGAGAAAAGAAACATTTGTAATTTAATATCATTTTTAATTTATAGAGTATAGTAGAACAACTCAGAAATTTAGATGACTTAGAAGATAAGTTTACTAAATCTACCGGAACGCTTCCCAATGAAAATAAAATGTATGTAAAATAATATTATTTTTAAACGAGTGATAAATAAATGATAAAATACTATTTTAAATATATTTTCTTGTTTTTTTATTTTCAGGGATCCACATGAATCGGTATGGATAACTAAAGTTCAACTAGAAAATTTATTGCTTGAAAAATTGTATGATGATCAAGTAAGTTTAGAAAAAGAACTTTGCTACTTTATTTATTTCTTTCATATATATAATAATTAAATAAGAAAAGATAATTATGTCTATTCTTAGTACGAATATTTTATCAAAACAATGGAGAAGCTATTGAATCATCCGTTATCCCAAAGAGCAGAAGAATTTATCATGAAGTACAGAATAAAATTAGCAATAAACACGAAAGACTACAACTTTTTGCCTGCAAGTATATTTTTTGTATAATAAATTATCTATAAAAGAAAGACATTTATTTCTCTCATATAATTCAGAAATAATAAATATATTATATTATATAAAATTTATAAATGTATTTTTATTTACAGATAATGTATACAGAGGATGGAAAACCATATGTTAAGGTATTCCGTAAGTTTTGAAATATCTTTACGTAAATTATGTTCAATAAATTTCAACCAGTTTGGATATATTAAAAATAATGTAATAATGGCATTTTGTGTTTGTAGCTTGTCAAAGAAAATCTGCAACTGCAACGGTAACAGTTTTTGGTGAAGGTACTGGAAAAATAACTATTAATGGAAAGGACATCTCTTATTTCAAGGACATGCAATCTCGGCAGCAGGTATATAAGTTTTTGTTATGTTATATTATTACTTTTAATTCGATTATGACTGTGATCTAACAATAAGTCATATATTTTGTTTTAAAATATTTTAAAACATTCGAGTTTGAATTATTTCTAATTTATTTTTTTTTTTTTTACAATAACAAGTAAAGAAACAGAAAAAATATATATTTATTTTTGAAAAATAATTTCTTTTGCATAATATTATTTTAAAAATAGCATATTAGACAAAATATTGTTTTTTATAAATTTACAAACAAAAATAAGCTTAAAAAGTATATAAAATCGATTGCATGAAACTTATCGAACTATTTTCTATCTTATTTTTTTAATTTAAATATGTGTGTATTACTGTTAAAATATCATATTCAGTTAATTTATAAAATAATTAAATATTACAATTAAATATTAATTAGTCATTTTAGGAAAAACATATAAAAAATGATATATCTTAACCAGTCTTATGAAATAACGAGATATATGAAATAATGGTAGGTGTATAGTTATTATGTTATGACTGCATTATGAGTCGTCGTTTCGACTTTTTCAGTAGAAAGTCACTTATTACAACACGTTTGACCTTTGTGACATTTCGAATTACATAGTATCCCTTTTTTTAAACAAAGGCATCTTTTTGTTTTACATTTTTGGGTGCAGTGACAGCGCGTAAAGCTTTGTTCATTATCCAAGGCTTGGTCTGATGCTACAGTTCGAAGAGAATCACAGTTCATTAGGAATGTCTTCCAGAGCAAGCAGTTTTTCGTAGCATAATGCCAATCGTGACCTAATATGTAATTGCTTTAGTGCTTTATTCTGAGCACTTAATTGATTTAATTTTTCTTCAGTTATTTCTAAATCACAGGCTCCTTGCATCCGTTTTTCCCTTATCCACATCCGGCACAGTATCACCAACGGCAAGATCAGGGAGGTTTGGGTCAAACTCTAGCTTAATTTTGTTCGTCCATTGTTCAGTGCATTCATTGTTTTCTTCCCTTTGTGTTTTGGGAGACTGATATTGATCACAAAGTTTATACAGTAATGCATCAGTTGAAGATAAACTGGGAAGATAACTGGCTTCAGTCTGTAAAATTCCAATCTCAGAACTCTGCATTAAATTTTCCAATTCTTCTTCTGTGGTCAACGAATCTAATACAGACTTTGGCAATCTACAATTTGAAATCCCAACTTTTGGTGTACAACCAAACATAGCTTGATATGGACTCTGTTTAATTCCATTATGATAGGTTCCATTCTTCATGAATTGCACAAAACGCAAGCCCTCACTCCACTTTGTAGTTTTTTTATCATTCATCCAGGTAATCAGCATGTTTTCAATGTCCTCCTTGACTCTTTCAACGCTTCCTCGGCTCTGACTATGCTTAGGTTTTCCATAAACAATGTGCAATTCTGGCCACAACTCTTTTAAACTATTAATTATGGAATTGCAAAATTCCCGTTCATTGTGTGACTGTAAAAAACAAGGAGCTCCTAATGTAGTAAAAATATCGACCAAATTAAAAGCTACCTCCTTGGGGCATTTCGAGGTTAGAGGACGTAATAAGATAAATTTCGTCAAATGGTCTTGGTAAACAAAAAAAAATTTGTATTGACCATCGGGCTGTGACTGAAAATCTACCAAATCTAACTGACATCGACTATTAAATTGATTACACCTCATTGGTTTCGCTATTGCTTTTTTTGAACAGCCCTTCTTTTGCTGACATACATCACAACATTGCAAAAACAAAGAAATTTGCTGTTGTGTAATGTTTTTGTAACATTTATTCAGTTCGTGAAACATTCGATCACGACCTGCATGCCCAATATTGCAATGGGTGTTATACAGCACTTCACACAATTCATCTTCAGTCACGTAATATCTTATTCCATGGTCTATGACAGGAAAAATTAATTTATCAACTCCTAGGATTTGAATTACATCATAGTGCTTCAATAACCAAAAATCCTTTGGTTTTTTTCGTTTAGAAACTTTAGCACATTTTACTTCCTCTATAAGTTTCTTATATTTCACTGATGACATATGCGCACTGTTAGCACTCGCCGGTAAAGATTTCAATTTTTCAGCGAACTTTTCCTGAATAAAATCCATTTATACGAATTATAAATCTACTATTATAATCCTTCCCAACGTTTTATATTTAAATTCGATAGAACGGCTCGACTTACAGAACATTTGTTTTGAAAGTATTTACAGGTCAAGGAAAGAAAGGAGGAGTATTATTGTAAACAAACAAATTGACTAAAGACAGATCAAATTTCGATGTCATACTTTAACTACTTGAACTCGTATATTACCTAGTTATTTCATAAAACAGACAATTAAAATGCATAATAAAACTCGTTGTCTCTGAAACGCCCTAGTCATTTAATGTAATATCTAGTTATTTTATAAATTAACAGAATGATACACAGTAATGTATATAGAAATTTTGATAAAAGTATTATCAGTTTTACTAGAGTTAATAAAAAGATTATTTGCGTCGATTATAATTACAAAAACGTTTCTTGATTCTTACGTAACGTAAGACCCGTGTATGATATAATGAACAAAGATGATTTCACTGGTCGGTACCTGTTTGAACCAATTGTATAGCTCGAAAACGACGATAGCAACGCCACTAAACTTTGCTCTGTAGAGCTAAAATGTTGGAAACTAGAAGTGCCATTCATTAATTTTTGTAACGAGATCTGGTTTTCTCGTAATATCGCCCACGAATCCAACATAAAGTACACATATTCCCAAATGACCTAATGCAAATTATTATCTTGGTTTTTTTTTTTTTTTTTTTTTTTTT